TACAAATACTATGATAATTTATATATTTAATACTCTAGGTAGGTATACATTTTAATAACTCAAAAATTGCTCTTTTAAATTTAACAAAATGTATCGAAATAACATTTTCAAAAAAATCATTTGACTAACTAATAACAGTAAAAAAGGTTTGTTCTTATTTAAAAATAATAAGTTTTTATCAAAATTCAGAATTTTAATATAATCATAACATTCATAACATAATATTATTATTATCATTATGTATTATTGTACCACATTTTGTATTTTTAATATATAATTTATATTAATGTCAATATTGTACTGCTATATATATTTTACCATTGGATATTTGTATCTTATGATTCGTTAAAATTTTAAATAAATAAATAAATATATAATCAAAGAAATAAATGGGGATGAGTATACTTCATGAATCAAATGTTGAGACATCTTAAAATGTACTCATATATTTATTTTACTCTTTCGTGTACATCTACTATATTTTAATTACTTATTTTTAATATCTACATAATGATATTTTTATATTATAAATTCAATTTGTCAAATAACTTTTTTTAATTTCAACACTTCATTTTTAGAATAAGCAAACAATATGTGAGTACTATAATTAGGGTTTAGTCAAAAAAAAATTGAATTATTTAATAAGATTACTAAAATCACCACTTTAATTATTAAATATAAATAACATAAACTGTAAATATATATATATATATATTTGTACATATAATTAACATGTATTTAAACTATCATGTTACATTTTTTATGTAAACATTGGCGTTTCCAGTTCAAATATACCGAAAAGTTAGTACCTATTTAACGTTTCCAGTATTATTTTGGTTACTGTTTTATTATATTTAAGACTTACAAAATAAAAATCGATTGAGCACCAAATGCAATTATTAGTGGTGTCCATCCTCTCTTCAAAGTGATTAATAAACTTTTGGACAGCTCGGCGAGCGGCAGTGATTACGCTTCAAATAGCACTTGGTGGCGAGGTAAACACAGGAAACTCGTCCGTTGCAAATGTAGGATACAGATGTAGGTGCCTACCTGTTGTGTAAATAAAATAACGAAAAACCAATTTAGGGTTTTTGATTAAAAACCAAATACTGGAAAAAAATCCGAAAATTCGACTGACAACGACGGCCTGAGGGCTCCACACTCTCCGGCGTGTATTAAAGGACTCGGCTTTGTAAATATGGTTTTGACCATAACCTGACCATTTAATAATATATAAATAGCAATAATATATGACGTTATCCAAATGGATAACGTGCAGGTTTATATACTGCTGCTACGATTATATAATGGTACCCACCCGGTACCCACGCACAAAAATATTCGAACCCAAATGATTTGTGGGTTAAAAAAACCTATTTTATTCTTTATTTCAAAGCTTTTACGTTGCGTGTGACGCCAATATAAGTATAGTATATCGATTTTAGTCACGATTGAAGATAACTATAATAAATTATAATATAGTGGCCGTTCGGACAGTGTTGAGCTAAATAATATTATCATCTTCCGTGGTCGAAACCCATATTATATTATATAATACAACGCGCTCGTGTGCACAAACAGAGAACTATTTTTGTAACGGAAGAGAGGAAATGTGTGAACAAATTAAGCAAACGTAATAAAAACGTTTTGTATAATATTATTCCTATGTTGTATGTATGTACCTTACAATGTTTTCTAAGGGTCATCAATAATAGAATATAATTTAATCGAACAAATAGGACAATATTATTGCTCCGAAAGAACAATATAGCAAGGTACAGATTTTATGCCTTTATGGAAAGTATATAACATTAATTTTCTCGACAAATATTGTATTATGTAGATAATAAAAGTGACTCAATAAGGAATTCTCAAAATAAATTTTTAAACACTGCACTTACATATTTTTTGAACTTAATATAACTGCTTCGTTAACAATAAAATATCTGAAGTTTGAAAAAAAATCACAAGCAATACTTTCCTAACAATACAATTTTTTTTTGTTCTTTGTTAACAAAGTTCTATCACATTTGAAAGTTATAATGATTTAATACCGATCACTATATATTTTGTATGGATAATTTTTACTCTTGCTCTAATTTAAATTCAGCTCACTTCAGCTCATTAGATTTGTATTCTAATCACAAATATTTGAATGTAACAATACAAATAAAAATAAAATTATGTTCACCGAATTTTCAATATTCTCTTCAGTTAATCAAATAAAACTTTATATCGTACTATTAAAAATATTCGATGTGATAAATATGACTACCGACTACTGAACATGTTTCGTTTGAAGCTTATAACCCAGCCTTGAAGTCAATGACAGCTATAATATTATAATCCCGGTTGAATTCGTGGGTCAGAAATAGTCTTAATAAATTTTTTTTTTTAAATTCATCCGGTGTATAAAAGCAAATATGAGTCGCACCTTCTAGAAAACGACTTTGCATGCAAATTGTACGGATGATGTGTAATTGCAGGATGGGTAGGCAGCAGAGACGAGAACGTAGTAAATTATGTAGGAACTATCAGTAATAGAATTTTCTGCCAAATTGACACGATTCTTCTGTCGTTGATGGGACTGGCAAGTGGCATATTATAGCAGCCGTTGTGTTCGATCGACCGAAATCATAATACGGTCCAAATCAATTTTGAGAAAATCGATTTGGCTCGTTCATTGTATTACGGAGAAATGCAAATTACTCCCGACGAAGAAATTACGGAGACACGTGTCGCTGACAAAATTTAACACTTTAAAAATCGGTTATCGTCGGCTAATGCTTTCAATCGATTTTCCTGTAGAAAATGAAATCACGAACCGTGAAGATTACTCTAATATTGCTCGCCAGCGAATACCCATTAACCTTTAATAATAGACTGCGTGTATATTATAATAGAATGTGATAATTGATTATTGTTTATTTTACTTTTACACTTTATCTCACTTATCCTGTTGTACTCCTGTGCAATGGATACAATATAATAATAGTGCACAGGTTGAGACGATTCACACGCCCTCGGTTTACAAATCACACACAAGGTCGATCGGTATTTTTGAGTCGAGTTTGTCAACTTACCACAATCCAAAGCCCTGTAGGTGAAGAGTGTGGTGGATTAATATTTCGCTTCGTTTGTATGGGGCAGTGTCTAGTGGATATTCTCTGGTTGTTGGTCTTTTTCGACGATAACGTTGAACGTGTTTTAGGTGTCCTGAGACATTTATGTGCAAATAACTCGCAAATCTGATGTCACACCTGACAATGAGAATAATAATGTTTATAATGCTTATTTGAATAACTGCATTAAATGATATTACATGGTAATATATTATTTAAACATTATCGTCGTTAAGTGGGTACCTATTGATATTCAATAATACATAATCATATTTTTGGTGGGGGCGAGGGGGATTTGCAAAACTTACCCTTTCAGAGAAAAAATTAAATCTATGAACTTACAGACTTTACAATTAAATTATAATTTTGTGAAATATAAAAATTTACCACAAGTTATGAATACTTTATTGCATTGTTTTATGCAGGATTGTGTGATGGAAAGATTGACTAAGAGTTAAACGTTGTTATCAAATATTTGAAAAGAATAAAAATCATTTCCATACAACCAATATTGACATTTTCTATATTAAATATCAGAATCGGAAATTCGAGAATGGTCTATCGATGACTAGTGCTATGACGATTTCACATATTGCATTCTAAAGTTTCATCCATCGCGATTATGACAGTGTTGATATTTATCTTCTAGACCGCTTGTTGGTTATTCTAAATCAAATTATGAGGTAGGTGCCTGTGCGTTTGTCACTGTATTATTTAAATACTTACCTATGTTTTTAAATGTATTCTTAAATTAACCGACATCAGAACAATATGCATTTGTAACATATTGACATGAGTTTCCGTGGCACTATCTGCTAGAACCAAAAATAATTCGAAAATACTGCAAGTCTCCAGCCCTGATTATAAGTTATAACACTTATAACTGAAGACCGGCTTTAATTGATATTGCACCTTTGTTTGCACACAAGATAAATCAAATCTGATCAAATATTATGTTATATAAGGTAGTTATAGCTATAAGAGTTATGTATATTCTGCATATTTCTTTTCAGAACGTAGTTTTTCTTTGTACAAACCTATTTTAACTTTTAAATAATATAAGATATAATTGCTTAAGAACCTAATTGGGAAATATATTTAAATATCAATTTTAGTATAAAAAAATAAGTTTGATAATTTCTTTTGTATTAATTAGTATTATTATACAAGAGAAATTTACTTTTTTTTGTATATTACGTGCCACTAATCTTTGAGTGGCAAAAATTATTTATACTAGTGAAAACTATCTCAACGATATTTTTTTGATTTTGTATCAGCCAGAAAAAATATTCGGAACTCTATTAAATATTGTAATAAATGCATTAATTTCAAATTAAAAAAATCAAACGTGTTGATTATATGACCAAGCCTAAAAATATATTTTAATTGTTGATTAAGAAAAACATTTTTGTTATCTATGCAAAACGCGGGTGATTAGATGTCGCTCTGCTGTACAGTAGGGCACAAGTGGGTCACTGTTGTAATGAACGGCGTTACATTTGAATTCAATAATATAAATATATTGTATACGAAAAACTGTTCTGAGCCTAGACGGTCTGTCAGCCTATGATATTACATTGTATATTTGATGATATTATTATGATTAAAGTCATTTATTTTTTACTTTTAGGAGTTAGTACTACAGTAGGTTAACATGATTTTTGTTAAAAACAATAATGCTTGAAAGATATGTATTTATAATATTTTTAAACTGCCATTGTAACAATATATTAGGAGCCTCGTAGATCTGAAGATGGATACCTACTACTCATAATATTTTAATAAATATAATATAAATAAAACAACATATGGTATAAGCCCCTATTTGTATCCTAAGGTATAAAACATTTCCCTCTTTTTTAAGATAATACAAGTACAAAAAAAATAAATTTTCAAATTTAATAATTGAGATCATTGTTAGGTATAACATCGACAATTACAGATTATGCAACGTTTTCATACATAAAATGCTATCAAATATTATATGTCTATATGTTTGGTAATAATATTGTGACAAAGATAAAATCCAAATGAATAAATATTTAATATTTAAGTTATTTGATCATTATTAGGTACTCAAAACTAGCAATTCTTCGATGTGGGTTTACACTTGCCAGTAAGAGGATCCGGGCCCACATGATATTCTGGGCGAACGACGTCGGGTACACATGAATACATGATACATAAACTTATATAATATTATTATGTTTATACGACAATAATGAAGCTCATCAAATCCTATTATTATATTATAGTATTCGGATTAAGAACGGGGTTGGCACTCGGGAGAACGGCTGTAATGGGAACTCAGGAGCTGATATGATTTTACAAACCATAATAATAATAATAATAATAACAACAATATACTCTCGCTTAATACTATATATATATATATATATATAACTCTAGAAAATCTCTGCTCTGTGAATCGCTGTAATAATATAATACATATAATATATTATTATTGTCGTAAACAACTACCTACGTTGCATTGCTCGAGAGAATTTAATTACGACCGCACCCTCTCTAGCCTCCTCCCTGTTAACACTATACACCAACAATAATATAATACAATATGACGATATTATACACAATAATATACGGTGGGTTGGTATTTACTGTTTATAGACATAGTCACAGCAGAGCGCAAAGTCCGCGGCTATTGAATTCAACATAGTAATTTACATATATTATTATTGTTCTTATCACAACAAATACTCGCAAAACTAAAGTTGTACTCGTGATTCCGTGATGTGTGTAGTCTGAAAACCGAATTCAATAAATTGCCTGATCATCGAATGTTAACATATTTTTTTAAATTATTATTCATCTTAAGCAACTATGGTCATAACTCATTATAATTTTTAAAGGGGTTTACGGTTGGCTCAGTAACACGCATAGGTGATGCGAGGATCAATCATTGAAAACCCAGGTGGTCACTGGTCACCCATCTGGGAGATGGTAACGCTGGACGATTATGCTTGACTGCAACAATACATTATAGTGACTTCGGCCGACCACCACTCCACACCAATCTCCAATTATCGAACATCTATTAAAATAATATTGTTATCAAAACTTATTTTGTGAAAAATACATTTTTAATAATATTATATTATTAAAGAGTGATGACTCATGAATGCATTTTCTCCGTTGAAAAAAAAGAGTTCTTCTTAGCACAAAAATGATTTAATGTTTTTTTTTATCTGCAATATCTTAACTATTTAGGTGTTCACGAATTTTGTGAACTTTAGATAATTCTTGTTTTCATGACCATGAGAAAAACCAATGTCAATCGATGAACAAAAATGTCATGTATGAATTATTGTGTATATTTCCTTAAAAAACACTACAACTTTTTTCCGAACACAAGAAAACGGTCACACCGCATTGTTGCCAATCACTGATATCGTTATTAAGTTATTTACTAAGCCCAGACCTCCGAAAATTGTTAGTAAATTAATGACCTTGATTATTAAAAATGTATAAACCAAGGACAGTGAGTCAGGTCGTTAGAGATTTTTATGAGCTTTTTTGATTACATCAGTGGCTCAACTGGGTAAAAATTTTGGGAACAGAGGGAAATAATTTATTCACCAAAACCTAAACTTTAACCTAATCGTTTATTCTTACACTAGTCTTAAAACTCATTTTATGGCTTAGAAACAAATCGCAGGTACCCATTTCCCTTCCCATATCGTTAAATAACATTAAGTGCATGAGAGGTCACTAAAAAAGGTGGATCATATAATAACTTGTTTGAAAACATTAACTAGAATAAATAAGATTGATGTAAGATAAATGTAATTAACTATGCAAAATAACTAGAGAAAAAAACATTTTTTTAAACTTATAAATGTAAAATGTCTTGTAATCTTTCCCTATTTTAGAAATTTTAAACACGTTTAATATTAACACATATCGTGGAGCATAATATATTTATTAACTTATAACATAGTATATATAGAGCATAATATATTTAACCCCCCCCTCCCCAATAAAAAACCGATTACACAACTGAATCGCTGCATTAATTATTTAAACATGTAAAATATTGTGTTCGTTTAAAAAGTGATAAATTTACTACGATAAGATACCTACTGTAGACTTATTATTGATTACTGATTAGGTACTGACAGTTTAAAAATGTATTTTCCTTTGAATAAAAAAAGTAACTATAAAATAAATGTCTTATATTTACCTCATTAGTTAAAAACACTTTAAAAATGTCATATATTTAATTGAAATATCATGTTGAAATACTTAGAATCTCAAGCAAAAAAATTATAATACTTATACTTACTCTGAATAGATGGAATCTCTGCGCGAAATAATATACAAGTACATTATCACTTCAAAAAACACGATTTACAATTAATACTACGGAACGGGTAGTTGTTCGATAATTATTATAACATATATGAACCGAAACGATGCGCATACTTAGGACCCATTGAACAATTTATTTTATTATCTAAGAATCACGGTGGTACGATTTAAGCGGGTGCATTATTGTAGTACACCGTGTGAATGTTGGTGGCATATGGCCTGTGCAATTTCTAAAATGCCGAGAGATCGAGCCCGACTCTATTCTTTCGTAAACTTTTGGAGAAAAGTTGCGAATATATACTTTAAAACTATATAATATATACCAGACCGGGCTAAGCCCGCACGGTAGTCATCACTTCACATACGGCTTATAATCCTTCTTTGCCCGCTGGCTCGATTTAACTTTCGCAAGAACTAACCAAATAGATAAAAAAAAGAATAAAAGGCAACATATCAGATTTAATTTATATATATATATATTATAATATGCGCGTGTGTGTGTGTGTCTGTGAGCGCGCGAGCGTATATAACACTATAATACCCCGAATTTGGTCCGGGCCACTTATTTTTCGACTGAGTATGAGATAGGGGACTAATGTTTTATACGCAGTACAGCCGCAACCCAACTTAATAGCGGCTTATTTACAGATTTTTAACGAAAATATATATCTATAGACAGGTCAAAAGATCAATATTACGCCGCTCCAATATTGTTATACCAATTACTGATCAATAGACTAAGCTATTGCATGAACCGACCGACTATAAAATAGGTTCGTCGTTCAATACACGTCTCGTCATCTATCACTGAGGCACAGAGTAATAATCCATTGGTCGATAATTATTAGCTGTAAAGATTTTAACGAAATATTTCATTTTTTTTCTCACTTAATGTTGCAAGTAATGGTTTTATTTGAGAAATTCTACTTTCTGACCATTTCTATTTTGTTTTCTCCATTTTTAATCATACAGGTTTTATAGGCAACTTTTAAACTTAATTTTCTCAAAGATAATATTTTTTTGTGAAAATGTTTATCAACATAATATACGTGATATTGTACAAATATTTAGTTAAAAATGTATAGTCATTACATACACTTTGAGTGAAGTAAGTATTATTATACCTATGCACTATGCAATATTCATAGATGTTTTGGTACTGGTCATGTATGCTACTTAAAATAGCACAAAGCTACCATTTAGTTACCAGTAAGGTCACTGCATTAAGATATAATATACTTTTTTATTCTCGATAGTAATATATTCATAATTTTAAAATTGTATTGTAACTTCTATTTTCTTAAATTTATGCTATTTGTAATTCGTATGTGATTCAATATTCAAAATTCTTTTTAGATCTAATACCTATATTTTATTTGTAAGCCTTGATTGATGTGAGATCATTCTACTTTAGTTTAAATATGAAACTTTCAATAACAGTTAATCGTCTGATTATGTGACCCTGTTGGTACTCTACGGTTATCAAGTCTCATATAAAAAAGATATAATAAGTCTAAAGTAGTATCGCTATAGATAGCATACAAAAAACAAATATCTTCAAATGCGAAAAATGTATTTTTATTACTATTTCAATCCTGGAGGATTCTCTGACATAAACACTTTAAATAAAAAATCAATAGTAAAGTATATATAAAGATTTTGAATTAGGTTTTATAAGTTACTAATATAGCATGTAGGTATGTACCTACAAAATGACAACAATAATGCATGTATTTAAAGAATATTATGACGTAAATTATAGTCGACTAAAAAGTTAGGAGTGATGGGCTTCCCTTTCATGTGAATTGTATCCCAAAACATTATGCCACAAAATAACGTATCTTTCTTAGGTATATTTATAGCTATGAGAAATTGTTTAATATGTTATAACGAAACGATAAAAAAACAATATTTTTAACCTTTAGGGCTGTATCAATATAATATTCAATGTTTCTATTGAAAATCTTAAGTCTGGGTAAAATGGGAAGGAATATAATTTATTATAATTTATGTAATTAGAATACCCACTCATTTAATATTTCTTCCGGCGAAATTAGTGTAGTTCTTAAATAATATCAAGACCCAATTCGTGTAAAAAAAGATCTTGGGGCGCAATTTGCTATGGTTCCGTTTTGAAAGTGTGCTGAAGTACTATAATATAATAAATGTGAATTGTAATATCGTTGTATAGTTTTCCATATTTTGGTGAAGATGTCGAAAAACAGCAAATCCACATCAAACGGTCGTAGGATAGAAATGTTTGCGTTCGGCACTGTCAGTTTTTGTCACGTTTGCAAAATAAAAAGTCCCATAGTATCGACAACGCCCATTCGCCCTCTCATCGGCGATGCCGTGCCAGAGAAATATATATATATTTTCCAGGGCGGAACTTACCGTATTTTGTGTTTAAGCAGCTACACCGACGATGGACGTGGCGGCGAATGTCGTCGGCTTAAGGAACCATGTGCAGACGAATTTCACTGCAATATTACGATGTGCCTATTCAATAATAAATATATATATATACATTTAATGCGTCAGGTGCGTGTTTGTTTACCTGTTTTCGCTGTGGGGAGTATGGTTGGTTCGGAATACGTGTATACAGGGCGACGATCCGTCGCTGAAAACCCGGGCGGTCACCCATCCGGGAGCTAGCGGCAGACGCTTGACTTCAGAACTCGTTAGCGACTGCGGCCAACCACCGTGCCACGCCAGGCTCCAAAAATAATACACTGTAATATTATAATATAAACATCATGTTTTATGTGTGTGTGCCGTTCGTCTCCGCCATAGCGGTTTGTTGGCCGAACGATGGCGAGCGGGCGGTACGGCGGTTGTTGCTGTTGTTGTGGCGTCTACGTGTACTGTGCGGTTCGTTATAGGATTTCCATCGAACTGCAATAATAATTTAAACGTGACCGAAACCCCATCGCTTATAGGCTTTCCGGTTTCCGGTTTTAACGAGCTCCGTCTCCGCGTATAGACCACAGTCGCGGTTGTCAACTGCAGCAGCCGCAGTGCTATCATTATTATAATATTGTTCCGGAGCTGAGCTCGTACAACGATAACATCATGCTATGATGTATTATAACCACCTATATTATTTTTTTTATTTTATTGTAGGAAAAAAATACCCTCATGGGCCATTATTGGGTTCGCAGAAGATATGATTAATTAATTGTTCATTTGACATCCCATTCTAACTATACGTTTTTATATCTTGTTTTGAAGATTGGCTGCTGTGATGAATTAGATGATGTTGTCAGCGGATCGAGGGCGATTGCTTATGGTATTTCGGCTAATGATTCGGCCAGGTTTTGGCTTGTTGGGATATTGCGGTGTGTCCGGCATTCAGTGAGAATCTGACCAGCACCTATATAATTATCGTTACTGCTTCAGTGTTATTTAAACTACGGAGACAATTTCGTTGTTGGAAAAAAAAACCGAAATCGTTTTCATTTCACAAAACGGATGTACTCACAACAACTGCACTTACGTAATATTATGCGCGGTATGCGGACGAAAAAAAAAAAAGGTATAGTTCCACGTGTCCTGCGGGAGGGAAATATAATAATACGAGAAAACGGACAAGCTCTTCGCGTTATTATAATAAACAGTATGGTTCGCATATGTGACATAATATTATGTGTAATATAATGCGGTACGACACGCACGTCAAGACGTTAAGGGCCGCATAACTTACAAATTTTCTTTACGTTTCCAGGACAATACGCGTGACTGTATTATTATAATATGCATACAACGCAGCGCAAATAGTGCAATTTACTTGATATATTGTGTATGGTGTGTACAACGGATGTGTGGTGTAGGTGTATTGCGTGTACAACAAAAAGTCGCCGACTTAAATTAAGAGTTATTGGACTAAAACAGCTAGGGACAAAAACCAACTGGTTATTTTATGTTATAATAAAATTATATTGAACAAAGTGCCTCGTCGTCGACGGGGTTACAGTTATTAGCTATTGAAATGCCTCTGATCCATACAAATGTGTGTTCGATGTACTTTACAATAATTACAAGCATACGCTTATAACATAATATGATATAATATAATATTTTTACTCACAAATACAATTCTTAAAAAGCACGTGATTAAATTTGTTTATCTACTAAAATTAACAAGTTGAATTTGTTTGCAAACATTGTTACACATCGAACATCAAGTAGGTACGTACATGACTAAGAGTGACTATTTTAAACAAGGCATCGAAGATATATGTAAACGTTAATTTTACTAACAGTTTAAAATTTAAATTCAAAAAAATAATACACATTGGGGCTATAGTCTCATCACAAAAAAAATATTTATACATAAATTACTGTAGATAAGTATTTGTTCTCGTTTGTTTGTTTGTCTAAATTATGAGATATAACGTTTGTGAGAAACCAACATTTTCAACATTTCATGGCAAACATATGTTTATAATGTAAGGAAAATTTAAATTACCTATATGATCTGCTAAACTGCTATGTTATGTACTTCGGTCTCAAAAGATGGAGAACGAAGAAGCATGGTCTGTACTTAATATAGACACAAACAAGTATGTTTTACTATTTTATAGTGAAACCAGAATTAGATGTTAAACGAATAAATCAATTGTTTCTATAGTAAAACCTATCTAAAGAGCCACGTCCACCATAAGGATAATCTTCTTTGGATTTTTTCCAACTTATCAACAGATCCACTTTCTTGCTATTGAACTAATTTCGTATGTTACGTTCTTATCGTTTTAAAACACCTAAGCAGTAAAATTATTTACGATCTAAAATCGAACATTTATTTATAATTTAAGAGCATTACAATAATATGCCAATATCAAATATTTGTATATTCTAAACAACTTTTAAATTTTAATTTGGACGGTTTGCAGCATAATAATTAAAGTTTAGTGGTATAGGCATTTCCTCTTCTAACATAAGTTCCTAACACAAAATATGAACTCCTACTGTAAAATATCCTCAAACTTTTCAAAATTTATTTGTTAAAAAAATCCACACCAAACTATGCTATAGAAGATAATAAATATCTATAGTTATCCTAATCACACACAAGTTGTTAAAATAATAATAATTTAGAAATTAAATTTTTGTCATAAATTGGTCAGGTTGTTAAAATACGTTTGCTATTATATAGTACAATAATATAATATTATATTAAGCACTGCGTTTAATAATTATAGGCAGAAATATAATTGTGTGATTATTAACGATTATTAATGACTACAAAAAAAGTCAATAAAAATAATATTTATATAATATACCTTCTATGTAATGTGCCTTCTATGTAATATACCTTCTATGCATTTCATGCGTAATTTCCTGAGTTAAATGGGATAAAATGGAAAACGTTACGTTTGTAAATGCGACTGACATCGCGTGGTACACGGGCGAATAGAGTTCCTCTCCTCTTCCGAAAATCGACTTAACTACAAATCGCTGGACCGTCGAACGAGGGTCTGATCGAGCGTACGGACACAGTCGACTTGTGTGTATGTGTGTGAATGTGTGTGTGTGTGTCAACTTATAATTATATATATATATACACACACACACACACTATCCTTGTATCCTTTCTGATACGGCGGCGGCGAGGCAATTGGCGGAAAAGGGTCGGCGTGCGTTATCGCACTTGAATGGACAAAACGGAAACCGTTCACTTATATCCGTCGTCGTCGTAGTTGTTGTCGTACGTGCACACACACACACACACACACACACACACAGTACAGCGTCCTTTGAAACATAATATATTTACGCAACAGCATCGGCCGACCGACCTATCTCGTTGAAGCGCAACGGTCCGTTACAAATTTAGGATCTATACAGGCAGTAGAGCACCTCTTCCTCCTCCCTCTCTTAAATAATTAAAAATTAAGGCCAAAAATAGTTAGATATAATATGACGATAAAAATATATTATAATATAATATGATACAACTCGAGTAATTACTAATTTCCCAAACAAGCAATAGGTATTCAGTAAGAAAACAATAATGTGTTGGTATAGTTTAAATCCAATTAATGTGCACATTGTAAATGCCGATTGGCTGCGTTTCTTCAGACATGGGTCACTAGCCAATCGATGGTGATCTTTAGAGGGACATTGATAGTCAGTCGATCTCATAAAAATGAATTATACTAATGTAATATCACGTTTATCGCGTGCCTAATCTTACATTTTTGCAGGTTTTCAAAATATTCCGGAAATTTTTTACAAAGAATTTGTTGGTAAAAATTTTAACTTGAAGTCAAAAAACTAACAACTAGATATTATTTGCATGTTTAACTATGAATTGTATGGAATAAACTACCGATACTACGTATAACATAATCACATTGCTCCTGGATATGGACAAGTTACAAGTTAGTAGCAATATAATAAACTCGTTACTGCGTAAAGTTTGCAAAGCTTCGTTTTTTTCAATGAAAAACGTACAGAATGGAACGGTGGTGAAATAAAATATAATATATGTATTTAAAAGATTTTCCCCGGATAATGTCGAAAAAGAGCAGCTTTTACTTATTGGAACATATTGTATTATACGCCGAGATTGATTCGATCCCAACGTTGCGCTGTATAGATATATATTATATTACATAATACCTGTAGGTACTAAACGCGCGGGAGGGTAGATATTGATGGAAAAAATACGAGTATTTTGCTGGCCGGCGAGTGAGGGTTATCGAACTCGTGGCGGGCGTATAACCCAGATTCGACGGGATTCGATGAAACAAATGTGCCAAAAAAAAAAAAGAGGGAAAGGAGAGAGACACCGATACAAGAGAGAGAGAGAGAGAGAGAGAGAGAGAGAAAAAATAATACGCCTCGGCGCTGGTGTACCACCGGGGGTGGGGAGGGAGGAAGGTGGCGGGGAGCGAACTGTGTTCAAGACGAAAAGCAATCAAAAGATCTCGTGGATCTAACCGGGCGGGACGACTAAGCCCCGAGAGCTTAACCGTTTCCGGCGCGCACGAATAAAAGATTTGCCGTCGTCTCTCTCCCTCCCTCTGTGTGTCAATCCGCTTACACGCCGAATAGAACTGCCTCTACATACACATATATATATATATTATATGTAATATGTATATACAATTTTATTCGTATAACCATGTACCTATGTGTGTGTGTGTGTGTGTGTGTGTGTGTGTGTGTGTGTGTGTGAGTGTGTGAGTGTGTGCTGGCGTGCGTGTGTTCGTGATTTTGCACATGTGAACCAAAAGAAAAAACTGTTGTACCCCCGCACACGTCTTTTAATATCAAAAACGTATTTTACAGTGACTCTGATTCGGCGGCGCAGTCCCTCGACGATACAAATCCGGATTTAATGTTACCGGACATTTTGGAAAAATCTAAGGGCATTCGAATTTTTTTTTAAATATTTCGTTGTACTAATGTGATATGATGTACATGCGAGAGCATGTGACGTGTGCGCGTAGCGAAATGAAAAAAAAATTACACCGTTTGTGTAATTGACTTGTGCGATTTGATAGATACTGACGTAAATATGTTTTGATTCGTACAGGACGGTCCGCATAGGTGTTTTCGTCTCGGAAATCCGTAAATTAACTTAGGATAAGGTAAAAACAGTACCTACTGTTGCTATGCGCTAAGGCTTTTAGATAAATATTTTAAGCTTACAAAATTATTTATCAAAAGAAATGGTAGCAATATTTTCATTTTTTAATTTTTTTTTTAAAAATAATTTTGATTTTAAAGCTTGTCCAATTAAAAATGTTCAATATTTGTCCTGAATAACCTAAAAAAAAGCTAATAAACGCACGCATACATTTGAAACAGTAATTGAGCATCAGGAATTAAATAAGCTAATTTTCAACTATTAACCTTTGATTTCTATAAAACAAACGAATATTGGTCATCATCGTAGAGAGAGATGAAAGATTTTG